TGAGCGACTGTGCACCAAGGAGGGTTCCTTTTTGCACAGCCTCAGGCTTGTTCATGCCCGCAAGAACGTTCCCTAAATGCTAAGACCTAAACCCCCAACCTTCAAGACCTCAATGGCCAAACTCTCAACCGCAAACCCCTGAACCCTAAAACTTAGTCCTAAACCGCCAACCAAAACTCCCGAAAACCTAACTCTACACCCTCAGCCCCAAACCTTAAATAAAGCCTTAAACCTAACCCAAAACCCTCAACCCCAAGCCTTAACTTCAAAACCTAAACCTGAACCCAACTCAAACCCTAAACACACTGCACTTCGAACATTATCTGGTAAATAACAGGCCCCCAGAGTCGACTCTGAGGCTGGCCTTTAAGCAAAGGCTAATACTTGAAGGGTTCCTTAAAGGGTTCTACAAGGGCTACTACGAGGATTTAGGGTTCAGGGGCCTTAAGAATTAGAACAGGGTTTTGGGGGGTATATGATACTAAATTTATAACAAGGAACCCCCAGAATAGTATTGGTAAGTACTTAGTCCCCTAAATTTGGGTTTTTTTTTCTCCTACTTAGCAAGGGTATATTTGGGGTTTGAGGTTTAGGGTTTTGGTATCCTGAAACCCCGGTGCTGCCTTGCGCTGGTTGTGGAAGGGTGCAAGGCCCTTGCAGAGTACAAACTTGTGAAAACAGTGTACGATCATGGAGCTACATAAGAAAGCGTAAGGTCATGCAGTCATGCAGTATACCAGTGCGTCATTATCATAACCATAGAAATAACACTGAAAATGATAATGATGCTGCTACTGCTCATCGCATTCCTCACCATATCACTACTCACAGCAATATCGAAACAAAATAAGTACAAGATCATGTATTTGGAGTTCATGAGGCCTGCTGAATTGGGAGCGCTTTTGGTTGGGTTAGAGTAGGCCCATGCGCAGCAGAGACTGCAGCATAGATAAACGATGATACTCGCAAGCACAGCGTCAACATGCGTCAACAGTGTATCCTGATCAGGCCGGTGCAGTCATGCTTGCTGACCTTCCTGAAAGTATTGCTCTCGTCATCGTGACTCGGCTTCCTATCCTTCGTGATATTCACTACTGGTAGTATTATTACCATCCTTCTGACTATGATTGCGATTGGCTGCTTGCCGATATTGAAGTTATATTGCTCTGATACTTCTGTCGCATTTTGTTTGCGATACGTGTTGCCTTCTCCATGATAACAGAAGCACCAACATCAAACCGCAATCAGATGCTTTTTCGTGGGGTTTGGGGTCGAAGGCTCTGCTTGACAGTTCACGGTTTCAGGTTCGGAGTTTGCAGTCGGAGCTGACTACATGCATGCTGTGCCTGCTCGGCTGGGTTACTCGACCCTAAGCTGCCGTCAAAGTAAGACCCAAGCAGCGACTGACCGAACCCAGACTCGACAGCTTAAGACACCATGCCGCTGCAAGACTCAAGCCCGCCCAGAGCCATGAAGGGGAAGCCCCAACTGTCGCAGCCCGACAATTGGAGCAGCCATGAGAAAGACATATTAAGCATGGTCTCATCAGGCTACGCCAGACAAAACCCCTCACACTTGCACGGACACTGAACCGCTGCAACACCTTCGCCCGTCGTTCTTTTGTCTGGCTTGGCAATGTTTCAAAACATCGCAAATATTTAGTTTATGACTACCACAACTACTCCTACTACTCCTGGTGTAGCTGCTACTGCTGCTGCTGCTACTTCTGCTACTCGTGCTACTGCTACTGCTGCTACTACTACCTACTACTACCTACTGCTACTGCTGCTACTACTACTACTACTACTACTACTACTAGTACTACTACTAGTACTACTACTACTACTACGGTGTCCCCCCCT